ATTCGGGCTGAAACTGTCAAGTGAGAAGTCCCTGTTGGGACAAACGCGGATCAATTTTTTAGGCCACACTATTTCTAGCGAGGGGGTCAGACCGGATGCGGCAAAGGTGGAGGCTATCACACGAATGGCGGTGCCACGGGACGTTAAAGGGATTCGTAGGCTTCTCGGGACGCTGAATTATTATAGAAGATTCGTACCTGAGATGGCAGAATACTTGGTACCTATCAATAACTTGCTGAAGAAAGGCGCGAGGATCGTGGTGACACCGGAAATGGAAAATAATATTCGGAAATGCATGGATAGGTTGCAGGCAGAACCCGTATTGGCGTTCCCGGATTTTGAGAAGCAGTTCAACGTCACCACCGATGCGAGCGAATACGCGTTGGGGGCCGTTTTATCCCAGGGCAGAAGTGAGGGTGAACGTCCGATAGCATACGCGAGCCGACGACTTACGAGCGCGGAATCACGGTACAGCGCGTTAGAGAGGGAGCTACTCGCGATAGTGTGGGCCATCGACCATTTCAGGCCATATATATTTGGGAGGAAGTTTCGAGTCCACACCGATCACAAACCCCTTCAGTGGGTAGGAAAACTTAAGGAAACCTCTGCGAGGGTCACGAGATGGAAAGAATTCCTTAGTCAGTACAACATGGAGGTGGTGTATAAGCCGGGAAAGGAAAACGTGGTGGCAGACTGGCTCTCTAGGGCCATCATGATCAACGCGGTAGAAGAGGACGGGGGAGGTCCATCGCGGGACGTGCGCCAATTCTTGAGGGAATGGACTCCTGAGGGTGAAGGGGCAGATGATACCGTCAGTATAGAGGACAGGGAGGGGTCCCCGGAAGAAGATAGCTCAGCGGAGGAAAGACCAGTGGCGATGGAGGAAATAGACGAAATCATCAACGACAAGCATAGACAGGTAATCTGGAAAACCAGGACAACAGGGATCATGAAAATAGATTACCGAAGATACGGGAAAAGTAGGATTCGCGTCATTTGGTCGCAACCCGGGGTGAGCGAGGAGCAAATCCGTACGGCACTGAAGGACGCCACGGAACCGGGAAAGACACACCATCTCTATGTTGGGAACAACACGGTATGGGAGAAAATAAAGCGGATGTGGAGATCCGAGCGAATAGGCATGGATAGAACGATCATCCGGTGCAAGTATGCAGTGGAAACCGTACAGGATGAGGAGCAGCAACAAGCAATTACATTGGCATACCACCAGGGGAAGACCAACCACCGAGGCGTCAACGAGACGTTGCAGGCATTACGGCGAAAGTATTTCTGGTGGGGAATGAAAAAATCTATCCAAGGAATCATCGGGAAATGCGAGGTATGTATGCGCACAAAGTATGATCGACACCCCCCCAGAGGAGTTCAGGAAGAGACACCTACAGGGAATATGCCGCTACAAGACCTCCAGATCGATACATTCACCTGGAAAGGGTTCAAGTGGGTCACGATCATCGACACCTTTAGTAAAGTAGCTATGGCACATCAGGTCATGGACAAGTCTGCCAATGCAGTTGCGGAAGCCCTACAAATCTGGATACAGTTTTACGGAGTTCCCGAGAGGATCACATCAGACGGTGGCAGAGAATTCGACAATACCGCGATTAGGGAGGAGGTGAAAAGGTTAGAGGTTGTGTGGCATTATAACACACCGGGACACCCTAAGAGTAGAGGAGGAATCGAACGTTTGCACAGCACGTTGAGTGACCACATCCGTGTATATCAGGGAGAGAAAGGGTTGGAGCCGGATGTTGCGATGAAGAAAGCCGTAACAGCTTACAACCATTCGATCCACTCCGTAACGGGGTTTTCACCTGTGGAAATACTATTCGGGATGCGCAGGCCAAGGAGAGATTGGGGGGAAACAACGACCGATGAACATCTCGTAGAGCAAATCCAGAGTACTAGGGTAGAGGTAGGAAAGACGTGGGGAAAGGTAGCGGGGAGAATTCAGCGGGAAAAGGAGAAGCGGGTAGCGCGGCAGAATGTGCAGGTACGTGACCGAATGGGAGAATTAAAAATCGGAACAATAGTGTATCGTAGAATTGGAACCAACAGAGGGAAACAATTGTTACGGTACGAGGGCCCATTCAGAGTGGTTGCTATTAGGGAGCATAATCTGGTAACCATTGAAAGCATTAACGAACCTAAGAAGAGGAGAACTGTTCATATTGAACAATTGAAGCTCCCAATGTTAGAACCGGTACAGAAACCAACTGATTCGTAGTACCCTTATCGCGTATTATAAAAAAATATGTTTTTTTTATTATTATTACTGTTGATGATGTCATTTTTTTTTATTATTTTTGTTGTTCTTGTAAATAAAGATATGGCAGCATAATAGAGGTGATTGTAATTTTTATAGGATTAAGAGTTCTGTTCCATTGTTAATAAGACGTTGTGTGTTTACTTTCTGTGGTTTATTTCTTTTTATTTATTTCTCGTTCCAGCGGAGTGGAAGTGAGGTTTGGTGTACTTTAAGTTTATACTGGTACGAATAATTGTAAAGGGTTAAGGCTGATACCGGTGGCTCCGATCTAGGAATTTATAAGTTTCCAAAAATCCTATTCGTAAACTGGTGGGGGGGAGATAAAGACCGGAGACTGGCGATATCAGCCTTAATACCATCTTGTAATGTAAATAAACATAGCAATTGTATATAAGGCAGATTATTGAACGAATAAAGCAGTGTTAATTCAGAAGCCGTGAGTATTGTTTCTCGTCCCTCTTTCCTTCTTTTTTTTTATTTACAAAGCCCGGAGACGCTTAACTTATATATATATATATATATATATATATAAATGATTATTAGTGCGAAAGAAGAAGAAAGATCCTAACTATCTAAATGAAATTTTGTTTAAGTGATTCTTGAAGTCTTATTAAATGTAATTACACAAACAATAATACTTTTAGAGAAATTTTTTTCATAAGGTATGGTTATATATACCATTTTGGGAAGCTTCATCCCGAAAGCTACCTCTCTTCCCCATAGATCCACCTGTGGTTTGGGAGGATCATAGTCTTAGTTTGGATCCTTCTACTAAACTTTGATGCAAGATTTCAATTAAAATTTAATGTTTATTCTAAATCAGTTCCTATAGGACTGGAATTTTATTAGAAGAGTTTATAGAATTTTAATTTGAAAATTCTGTTAGAGCAATTCATTTCATCAAAAAGTAAATAAAAAAAAATTTATAGTATAGTTCATTTTTAGCTACTCAAACAAAGGAAATAAAAGAATTAGGTGATTCATTTAAGATAAATTATACCTGTAATTAAAGCCCACAAATTATTTCTCATTTATTGGAACTTTTAGGTAAGCATTTAAAGACATACAAGTTAAACTTTTGTAGTAACTTTATTAAATAAAAAAAAAGCAGAACTTCATCATAAAAAACTTTATCACACAAATGTTCTTAGTAAGAAACTTTACTATCGAAATTATACAAAAATTTCTTGTGATTTTTATTTTATAAACTTTTATCACAGGAGTTCCTTTAAAACTGTTAAAATTGAACATTCCTAAAAATTTCAAATCCCAATTTAAGGAGAAAAGAAGTGGAAGAAACAGATACAAAATATGAATTTATTAATCAACAGATAAAATAAAGAAAATTAAGGAGAAAGAGAATTCATAGGGTCCAGAGATGGAAAGTTTGAGAAACGGTTGCCATTATAATTCATAGTAAGGTAGCGAGGAAAGAATTTTGTGAAAGTAGTTGTAATTTACATAAGTACAAATAAGCATATTTTTCACAAATAGTTAATAATATTTAAACAATATTTTTCTGTAACCTTTTAGTTCTTAGTCAGTTTTTAATAATAATTCTGTGGATTTTTTTTTTAATTATTCCTTTTCACTATTCCATTTCCTTTTACTTATTCCATATAGTTTGAAAAAAGAAATGATGCTATCTGGACGACAGCTACCCCATCTTCTGTCTCAGGTGGAAAAAGTAGACTCAGTGATGTGTAGTGAGCAGAATAGTGATGAAATAAGAGATCTGTTGAAAATTTACAATAATTCAAATGGGGTATTTTCCATTTGTGACTCCTGAGACATTACTTGTTTTTTTAACTGTGCCGTGGGTAAACAAGTACTCCCCTACTTCAGATATTATAAAACATTTTAGGCCCATCACAATTTGGGGATGTTTATAAAACAATCATTTTATTCATCACCCCCCCCTGGTTACTATTACATATTATTTCTACAACACCATACAGCCTAGTTCTGTATCTGTCGCACCTCTTGAAAGCTTCAAATTTTGTTGTGTGAATGATAAGCCAAGGATTCTTCATCACTTACCAATGCGTTATATCCACTAAAAATAAAACCATGCCAGTAGCTAATCTATTATGATTACCTATAAACCCAGTTAAAAATATGTTTACAAAAGGGTTAGTTCTTGGCTGCTTCATAAGTACAAAGCTTAGATAGTTGTTGTTTTTTATGGAAAATTTAAGCAAGGTTTATAAACTGGTCAGCAGATTTCAACAGTTCAACAAAATAGTGATAACAAAAGAAATAACAGTCATAACAAACAAAACTTTATTTTCTTTCCAAGCTTAGTACGATCCTGGTCCTGTTGTGATACTATGTACTAGGTTTTTCATGATTTATTTCTAGACAAATTCTAGTTGCTATTTCTTCTAAAGCACAAAAGTTCTCTCTAAAACATCTTGCCTTGGCCTTCCTACTATGTTAACATCTATAGGAACAATACCAATCTCTTAAATATTGTAATGGATGTCTGCATACCTTAGTCTCTAATTTCATTTTCCATTACTACAATAGTGTAACAGTGGGTAGATCATTTCCTCGGTGAACACTTTTAATTGACAGAAAACTTTCTGACCATTCATCCTTTATCTGTACAACATATTCAAGCCTTTTAATGGTAATTCTTTTCAGTCTTATAAGCTCCAAGGGATCTGGAAGTTCCATCAGTGTACTACCACAATTCCCTAATTGATGCTACTATAAGCCATTTTTTTAAAAAGTAAACAAATAAAAGATTTGATTATGAAATTGTTAACTGACAACTTGTGAATGCTTTTAAATACAGATCAGCTTTGACAAATAAATGAAAATATATTGTTAATAACATATCGATAAATACATTATTGTATTAATGAAATATGGTTACAAACATTGTAAATAACAAAAATGATATTTTGTTTCTTTATAGGCATAAAACAAAGTTTGAACTTATAAAAAGTTGTTAAATTTATATAAATTTACTGGTTTAGTCTGAAACATAAACTATGTCTCCACGCCTAACTTTCCCACCCTGACAAAGTCCTGCAAATTGGCCAAATACTGGAATATGTGGTTCAATCCTGTCTTCGCCCAGCATCTTCATTGTTCTGTACCTTGAATAAATAATTTATCATTTATTATAGTGAACAATATGGATATTAAAAATATGTTATCATCTAAAACTAACTAGATTTAGAAATTATATATCTAATTTGTATATACAAAAATTATTTCCTAAACAACTTCCAAAGACACACAGACACAAACACACACACACACACACTTGAAGAAGTTGCCGATGCACTCACCACCATACTAGATGATGAAACCATCCAGACCAGTGCAGTGTGATCGATTCGCTCAGCGTATGTTGAAATACAGACCACAGTAATTGATCTGCCGGTCTTGCTAGTCAGGAAGGCAACGCTACAGGAAAAGTCAGAGTTGGGCTTGTAGTCAGTCACATCTAAGAGAAATTTCGATGCTTTCAGTGTTGGGACTTTGGGCATCACCCCAGACACTGCCAGAGATCTGACAGAACAAATTGTAGTCGTAAATGTGGTGAAGAGGGGCATCTAGCTAATGACCGTACCAAGAGCCTCACTTGTGTATTATGCTCTGGCAGGGTGAAAAGGCCACAACAGTGGAGGTAGCATTTCACCATGCCGTGCAAAAACAACAAAGGATAAGAAGAACTTTTATCACATGAGAATAGTAAAGCTTAATTTCAACCACTATGAAGCTGCACAAAATCTCCTTTGGCAAACTGTAAGAGCTGAGGGTTGACACTGCCATCCTGAGTGAGCAATGAAAAAATCTAGACAATGATTCCTGGGTATCTGATGCCACAGGAAGAACTGCAATTTGGACATTTGGCAGGCATTCTATAAAGGAGACGGCGCAAGCTACTACACGCCTTTAATGCCACAAAATATAGCTGCATCTTGGATGCCTTGTAAGCAATTTGTGTCCCACCTTGCCTTAGGAGGATAGTGACTACTTTAAGGACAGGACACTTGTGCTAAGAGTCTAATAAAACATATGCTACAGAGAATGACCCAAGGAGGTTCCAAGTTACTGAAGGAGTACCTCAGGGCTCAGTGCTCAGTACTGGGACCCCTACTGAGGAACATCATGTACAATGGTTTTCTCAAACTTAACTTTTCAGATGGTACCAAGACATGGGGTTTTGCCAACAACTTAGAAGTTGTAGGCAAGGCCAAATAGAAAGAAGAGGTGATCTTGAGGGCTAACCAGAGTATTGAACTAATCTGCAACTGGTTAGCATCCGTGGGACTGCAGTTTACAGATCACTAGACAGAAACCCTTCTGATCAGTAGGAGAAAAAGAACGAGCATATCATACAGACTGTGGGTAGAAAAAAACAAGATCTAAGCCTTCCTTGATCTTGGAGTGAGAATTGCTGACAGGCTCAGGTTCAAGGAGCATATCCAGCTGGTGAATGAAAAGGTGTCTAGAGTGACCACAGACTTATCCCGACTGATGCCAAATGTTGGATGACCCAGGCAAAGCAGCAGGTTGTTGTTATGAAGCATGGTTATTTCTATTCTACTCTACGCAGTTGCTATAAGGAAAGGAGCTCTCGATACTATGGCAAATAGAAGACCAATGTTATCCGTCTACCGTCAGAGCACCTTATGAGTAATAAGCACATTCCGCACAGTTATTTAGAAAGCAGCATGCCACCAACAGAGCTGATGGCAGAAGAGAGAATGCGCAGAGAGAATATAGTTCAAATATATTATAATTTTAAACTTTGTACGTAAGTGAAATTTGATTTTTTTTCTTTTACTTTCACTTATCTATATATAGTGAGGGAAAGTATTAAGTATTATGATCGTGAAAATTTTTGAATCTGAGTTTTCAACGGAATACAACTTTTGAGGTCCCCTGCATCCATATTACCAAGTCTGGCAAAATGGTCTATGTGTGTGTCTGTGTGTATTTGAACAGTCTAGCTCAAAAACATAAAGTCGTATGAAACTGATATTACGTATTTAAGATAGGTATATGACTGTTACGGAGACTTTTCCTTAAAATCAGCTAACCAGAAGTACCACTTTATATAACCAGTGAAACACATTTTTAAAATTTTCACAAAAACGGCTTCAATGATTTTGATTAAACTTGGTGTATCATTGTATGATTAAGTGGTCTTTAATATCATTTATGTCTTATTCCCATTGATGTCACTTTAATGTTCGATGCTTAATGCCCATATACTCGATGCCCAATGTTCATGTACGTCTTCTTCTAAAGTATCTTTAATATGGTATGTTTTAAAAAATTAATTCTCTTTTATTGACAGTTAATATAAAAAATGGGCTAAATTTGAAGTTTGAAAGAATATTGTTATTGAAAACTGGAGCAAAAAGAAAAATGCATATCCAGGTTGAAAACAAATCTCCGGAAATAACAGTCAGAAGGTATATGTATAATATATTGTTGCAAAGCAAAAAATTTTAGAAAAATAACATCAAATAAATAAAGTTGTAGAAGGTAACAGAGAGTAATGAAAAAGTATAAATAAAAATTTCAGAAAACTAACATTATTTAACATAAATCACATGTTTCCAAGGAAATTAAATGAAATTTTCTTACTAAATTTAATCTTTTAATTTTTTTCTAAGTTTGAAAAAAAAGTATTTATAAATCCACCAAATTATGCCAATTACATTGATTAAAATACTATTTCATTGTACTTAAGTGAATGAAGCAGTGAAATATAAAAATATTTCATATGTATATAACATTAAATAGATTTCCTGTAGTTTAATAACTCCAGATATGATATTATATTTAAATAATTAGGTATCTGTTTGGTCATTTATTCCAAAAATCATCAAAAATCTTTTAGAAAATTAAATTGTGAATAATTTTTCCTTTTTGAAATTCCAACATTATCTACTTACAATTAGTGTGACAACTTTTGACCTATCCATGGCAGGCAATGGAAATCTCGTAATTTCATTTTAGTAAACTTTACAATGGAAATTAACACGTTAATTTATATGTTAAATATTCAGATATACTTTCAAATCTCTCAAGGCATACATGAGCCTTTCAGTAGACTACTAACGACTAACTCCAATTTTAATATTTTTTATTATGAATTTTAGAGATGCTTCTAGTGGCAAAATTTATACCTTTATTCACAGTTCCATATTTCAACACTGCAATCATCTACTCTGGAATCAACTTGCTGAATGCCTGTATAGATATAACTTTTCCAACCAGAAATATCATTAAAATGACATGACTCAAAAATGTTGAAATTGGAATTAATCATTATGTCAACTGAAAGACTCAGAGATTGAAGTTATGTGGTTTATAAAAGCAGATGGAGTAACTACATTTTTATTGCCTACCGTTTATATAATAAATAGACTTTTTACAATTTTAATGGTCTTAATGATTTTTTATCTGTAAGCTTTAAGCTTTAATTCATTTTAAAATGCACTTCAAAAATTTTATAATAGTCCAACATTGGCAGAAAATAATTTCTATTCAAAGAAGAGCGGTAAGTGAAAGTTGTATGTTGCGTGCACCAGATTTTTTTTTACATCCATGGTATTACCTTTGGATCGATAATAGGTGATATAATTGGGACTGTTGTGAATATTTATTAGATAGCAACTTTATATTTTAAATGGATCAAATGACTGCACTAGATATTTTCAATTTCTATAAATCAATGTTCTGTTAAGAAATGCCTGTTAATAAAGTAACAAAAACAGAAAAAATGTTCAACTGGTTACCAAGCCAAAGTAAAAGGTTCAAGATTAATTTTCATGACTTGAGTTAAGATTAACTGATTAGGACCCATCATAAAATTTATTTTCGACGAGAGTTGAACAAGCACAGACTAATAGTGGATCCAGGATTAAATTTTAGGGGGCTTCAGCCCAAAAGATTTTTAAAAAATATATATAACGGTTATTACTGCAGAAGAAGAAGAAAGATCCTAACTATGTTTAGGAAATGGTGTTTAAGTTATTGAAGAAACGAATAATAATATTTTCAGAGATAATTTTTTTTTTTTTTTTTTCATAAGACATGGTTATATTTTACCATTTGAGAGAGGGAGGGGGGAGGAGGAAAGCTTCAACACAAAAGCCCTCTCCTCTCCCCCATAGATTTGCCTTTGGCACAGACAAGAGTGCTACTCAAAAAGGCCAGAGTGCTACTCTAAGCAACCCTGACTCCACATGTTCATGTGAATAGAATTATATTTATATTGAGCCTGAAAAATATTTATGTACAACTAAGATGTTACATAAAATTGAAACTTACTTTCTCAGTGTACTAAGAGGTTCATTATTTTTATTTTTTTCTCCAGTATCACTATCAATTGTAACAAAAATACACCTGTGAATAAATGATAACAAAATTAGTAAGACTGCCTTTTGGCATACAAATAAAGAATTTGTTAGACCTTAAACATATTTTACAGTGGTAGAATATAAAAAAGTTTCTTTTTCATATAAAAATAAGCAATATTTTTTAATATTAAAATCATAAAAAATATATATATATATATATATATATATATATATATATATATATATATATATATATATTATGAAGTTTCATAATAAGAAAGCATATAATTCAATAATATAAGAATAAAGAAAGGATTTTTTGAATTAGTAAAACATTGTTTTATAAGAAAATGAACTTCTAATGGTTATTTAGTTGACGATAAATATATTCTTGGATTTACCTACTTCGGCTCTAACAGTAAATGAGATAACTTATAAAAAAAAGGAAATTAATGATTAACAAAAATGTTAACCTTGTACAGGGCCGAAATCGCTCAAATACAGCATCTCCAATTTTAATCCAACGCCAACTATCTTCTTCGTATGCTTTAGGCCCTTCAATGACAAAATTCGGTCTGAAATTTAGAGCTTTTGTTTTGTTACCATTGGTTAGTCTTGTGTTTAATTCTTCAACTGAAGCCTCATTGACATAGTTGTAACTAGCCATGTCTGAAAAAGCACCCTGGAAATAGCATACTCTTGTATTTAAAATGTTTAAATATTTCATTTGAAACAATATTAAAGTAACATGGATCTTTTTTATTGGTTTTGAGTTGTAAGTCTATCTGAGATATTTTCATAGAAGTCTATTTAAATACAAAAAAAAATAACACATTGTACAATTAATTTACAGATTGATTGTTGACATAATTTATTTTTTTCAGATCTTTTGTCTTCAAAACTATAGGTACAATATATATATTTTTTTTCTCAAAAATTCCGAGAATGTCACTTGTCATTTAAGAAATAACCAACTTAATTATCTTCACAAGAACCACAGATTTATTTAACTTTGCATTCCTCAAATAAGTTTGTTCTGTATTTTAATAATGATCAACTCCTCCAGAATGGTCTTCTAATTAAGTGATTGAACAGGTATTGTTAATGTTGTAACCACTGTGATATTTTTAAAGCTCTTAATTACCAAGTTTTACTCAATAAATATTTGGTTTTGATAGTATAAAATTAAATTTTAAAAACTTATTTTTCCTCTTTTAGCTATATTAATGAAAATAATATATCAAACATTGATTTTCATTTCAGAAACAATTATTGTACTCAAAACAATTGATTCTAATATTTTTAAAAAATTCTGCTTTAAGGATGTAATTGTAATAACTTTATGGCATTATTTATGTGTATCTAGCATTTAAGTGAATCGATATCATTAAAAAATAAAAATTAATAAGTTTTTTATGCAAATTTAAGAACAGAGCATTATATTTCATGTTCACAACACAAAACTTATGAAACAACCAGCAATTTATTTATAGTTATATTAATTTTAAGCATCATACCGTATATTTATTGCTCAGGCTTTTGAAAACTTGAAACTCCAATTTACGATATGAAATGTCCCTCCTCCAACCCTCATTCAAAGGAAAGTAACCAAGCCTGAATTCGCAGTCCTTTCCGCCAACTGCTTCAGAAACCCATCTAGCAGCATCCTCACCACAATCATCGACTCGTACCTTCTCCTTATCCCACAATCTAAAAAATTGAGAGATAATAATCCGAATGGATTTAGTGAAGTATTTTAATAGACATTGTACTTTTTTTTATAGACATACGTAATCATTTTATCATCACGTTTTTCAGGCAAAGTAATTTCTATGTTCTCTTTACCAGGATATGAAAGAATTAGTGTCTTGTCATCCTTCGGTTCAACGTCCATCTGCAGCATTTTAGTATTAAACTTTCCACACAAAAACACCATTGTTTCAGAATTGTATACAACAAAAACTCTGTGAATTAAACAAATGCTCAATTATATTTCAATTATAGAAATGTAAAACTATATTGTTTTACGTTTTGACAGTCATATAAAACTAAAATTAGTCCTAAGAAGAAATAAACTGCATATTTATTTTTTTAGGAATTATATTTCCCATGCAATTTTTACTGCATACTTTTGAAGAAGATGTAGTCTTTTAAAGAACATTTTTGGTTTACATTTCAGAAAATGTTAGAGACCAAGATTTCTCAGGAAAACTCAAAACTGCACTTTCATACAGTGCCTTAAATATTTAGTGCTCCAGGACAATGATGTCAAATTCTACCAAAAAATTAAATTTATTATTTAAGCTGTTTTATATTTAATAATATTTGAATTGTGCTTTATTAATTGGCTAAAAAAATTAATTCTCAAATACTTTTTAATTTTTTCTTTTTTTTCAACAAGTGGCGGTAGGCTTCTCCGGGCTGGTGACCCTGGGCAAATGCCCAAATTGCTCTATCCTAAGGCTAGCACGGCTTTCATGTAAAATTTTACCAAGAGGCTTTTGCAATGTGACTGACATTTGGAGTTCAAATATATTTTTAGTTATTACTTCAGTCAAATTTATTATAACTTGACATTTATACAGAGCAAAGAAACCCAGACACTGTTTAGCAACACAAATAAAGAAACCGTGGCATAATAATAAACTATATATATATATATATATATATATATATACACTGTTGTAAAATAAAATCAATTTTAATCTAGTAAAAATAAAGTACCTGTCTCTTAGTGGGAGTTTTCCATTACCAACATTGAAACTCAATCCGACTGGGGTACAATCTGCTTCATCAATCTCTTTATACCTTCCAGACTTTATAGGATAAATATACATTTTTGTGAGTTTTCCAACAGCACGCCATTTTTTTCTTCTAAACAGAGCCCAGGACATAGCAAGACCTGTTGCAAGAACTAATCCTAATCCTATGAGTGTTGGCAAATTTGAAGACATTTCTCTATAAATAAACATAATGTGAAAATTGGAAACATATTTTATAAACAATTAAACAGAAAAAAATATTGATTATAAAAAAATAAATATTAATTTATTTATTAATAAAGTTTAAACAATTTTCATTAATTAAACTGAAACTAAATCGTTTCACTTTTTAATAAAATGTTGTATCCTTTATAAACCTCTTTCTAACCAAAAATTTATTGAAAATTAATCTTTTATTTAATTTCTGTGATACCACTCTAATTTCTTCTAAATGCATTTTTAATAAACATGGATTATAATTAAAATCTAATTCAACAACATTGGGTAATTATTTACCTGATATGAATATTGCCTAAGAAATAAGAAAAATAAATTCAACACGAGATACTGTCAAATACCCAACTCCAACTGCTCTGCGCTAATTGGCAAATTGAATGACCATGAGATTTTTTTATGTAGTGCGCTCAGTGTGGCGAGTATATGCGTCAGTTGGACGTAAGGTTAGAAAAAAAGTTAAAATTTGGAAGTTTATAATACTAACAAACTAATATAGTTTTCTCGCCAACCACAGCAATTTTTAACAAAGCTGAAACAATGCTAATACGCAAGTAAGATATGACAGTTGAAAGAAGGGAAATCATATTTTTCTCAAAACAAAGTGAAATGTGCTATGGAGAATTAAGAACTTCTAGTAAATCCTAAGGCAACTAAGACAGTGGATCTTAAAATTACATAGAATTATTACGACAGATCTAAGAAAAATAAATAATCTAATGCCATTACGTAATTCGCTCCAGAAACTTCACAGAATTTGTAAAAAAAAAAAAAAAAAAAGATTTAAGCTTCTAAAAGAACTTATTAATAAAGGTTTGAGCTTCTAAAAGTAATTTTCATGCCTCATCCAAACCATCCTAAGGTCCATGGGTGCCCAGAAGTGGGTTTTATAGCGTAAGTTGCGCCATAACAATTGCACATTTTGACGGGATTTTGAATTTTTGAGGGGGGGGAGTACCAAATTCCGATGGATTTATGAATTTTCGGATTGAAAAGTTTCAAACAAGAAGACAGAGGTAATACATGGAACAAACCTCATTAAGTGGGGCGGGGTGGCCGAATGTGCTAAAGCGTGTGCACAGCACCGCTAGTTGCCTGGCAACCGGATAACAGAGATTTGAGATGATTTTAAAAAAAGTACGAGTTCGCGTCCCGGTGCCGAAGGGGATTTTAAATTCCCCGCCCTCACCCCCCGGCCCTGGAAAATCCCGTATAGCCTAATAGGCGAGGTAGGGAAGAACAATAAAAAAAAAACCTCATCAAGTGTAATTATAAATGATTAACGGAACTTTTATTCCAATGTTTTTAAGAAGAATATAACAATAACATATCTTGGGAAGGGGAGAGGTAAGGTTCATGTGCCATCGACATTGGGGGGGATGGCCACCCCTGGTAAGGTCGTATACAAAATGGGAGATGGTGATTAATTTAAAACTTCCATGTCTTTGTCAAAATCAGTTTCTTCAAAAAAGTTTTCTTTTTAGCAACAACAAAAAGTTTTCTTTCTAAAACAGCAACAACCTACCAATTTCTCAGAAATTCGAAATTAAAATTCACTGCTACTTTATTTTAAATGTTTTCCTCAGGTTGTAGAACGTGGCAGCTGCAGAAGAAAATTTGGAATGCATTTTTTTAATAATATTTATAACATTAATATTTAAAAAATGAGAGCTGCCAGTGAGATCATGCTATCTGTAATTACAAATAATATTACCATAACATATAAGGATATTAAGCATATTATATAGGATATTAAGCTTAATATCCTTATATGTTATGGTAATATTATTTGTAATTACAGATAGCATGATCTCACTGGCAGCTCTCATTTTTTAAATATTAATGTTATAAATATTATAAAAAAATGCATTCCAAATTTTCTTCTGCAGCTGCCACGTTCTACAACCTGAGGAAAACATTTAAAATAAAGTAGCAGTGAATTTTAATTTCGAATTTATCGGAAGATCGGAATGGGAAATTTATTGCGAAAATGTGGTAAAAGTTTTTATTTTTTTAACTAATATAGTAATAGAAAATCAACTTTATCCTGGAACAAAGTTCCTTAAGAATAACAATATTGTTCATATAAATTAATATTAAGTATATATGAGTTTATACAAGCAAAAAAAAAAGTTGCTAACGCGGACCACCTGGGAGAAATTTTTACAGCCAAAAAAGACAGATTTTTGTGATCTATTTTTGTTTTTTCACCTGTAACTTCTAAACGGTGCATCGAAGAAAAAACTTATTGTTTAAGATATTAAACAACGTTAAATTGTGCATCGAACGAGTACATAAAATTAATAATTTGGTTACTGTAAGTCGCTTATTCTCATCGAAATCTGTAATCTTTCGGTATCAGGAAATCGGTAACGAAGGTATCTCTGACTTTAAATATTTCAACAATACAGGTGTCCTCTTAGCAGCAAAAGATTTTGGGGAACGAGGTGCCAAAAGAAACTGAATTTCATGAAGAAATAACGAATTCTGATTCGAGAGATATAATTGACCTATATTAAAACTGTTGGTAATCAATGGACGCGAAATTTGATGCTCTACAACTTTTATTCTACGAGTTTTTTCTCTTAGGAAACTCATTTTCAAGCTGCAGGGCCATTAGTTTGTGTCATTTTTTGGAAAATCAGCTTTCGTTGTTCGTGGTTATCGACCATACCTCTAAACCAAATTATTAAGTTTTGGAACTCATTCGACGAACAACTTAACGTTCTTTAATTTCTTAGCGTTTAAGTAATTAAAGTTTGTCGAACAAATTGATTGAATTCAAGTACGGTGTTCTAAACAACACATAAAGAAAGAAACGGTGTGGAAGGAACATTGAAGCTGCTGTTAAAGATTTCATCGGTCGTTAATTCCACAAGTCTCGATAACTTAACAACTTCAATTAAGTAAATTACATGACCAGTAAAACCTACGAAAAAGTCGACTAGACCACATTAAATCAAAACACAACATTTCTTCGAAGAAATACTTGTGCTCTAATTTATACAAAAAAAAAAATCCTTAGATGGACAACGTACAGTATCTTAAGCCGGGTCGGACCACCCATCCTCATCATAGGTATTTAACAATCTTATGTTAACAAAGAGTTAAGTACTACATATAAAAAAAAGTCTTGACCTTATAGGATTTTTATTAAATGAATTATTTGAATAAAACCGAAAATTTTGGATACATAAATTTAATGTATAAATTGATTCATGGTTCGGAAATATAGACAGAGCTTATGAATGACATGTGAGGCGATTTAAAACGGTTCCATGATCAGACCCGTCCCCATTTAATTTACGCAGATACCATACGTTCCTATCATATGGTTCGATGATTCTCATCCGATTAGATGATTATAATTGTCGTCTAAAATGTATTCAAAGACATGAATGGACGATGAAACACTTTAACTTATACTAATATAACTATATATTTATACAAGGTGTCCCAGAAGCAGAAGGAAATATTTCAATAACAGACATCAAGAACTATAAAGAAGTTAAAAAACTATTTTCCAATTTAGGATAGAAAGCTGCAAAAATACACGTACTATTTATATGAAAACGTGTAAAAATTTATTATTTTTTAAAAACTTTTTTGTAAATAAAATGAGTATTTAAGCATTTATTTTTATCATATTTATCATGTAAGGTCAGGGAGAAAAAATCAATTAAAACTTTTCAATAATTTATTATAGTCATTTTCGCTGAAAACACGAGTACTTTAAGGTGACAGGATATCAAATCACCTCATTTTTGTACAAACCTTGAAGTGAATATAAAATTCATTTGAAGTAAACCTCAACCTTTGTAATAATAAAACAAAAATCAATTTATTTTTTATTTTTGGACGATAATAAAAACCAATCCCGAATGATTCATAATTTTTTTTTAAACAGAACTTAGCTAAGTTTATCCGCTCAAAAGTCCTATTTTAATGGATTTTACAATGGGGCAATCCTTTTGAAATCACCCAATTTAGATCAATCTTGTTGCTTCACATTTTTTACATTTATAATGGTTTTACCAGTTGTTCCATATTTATTTTAAAAGTTAAAAACCATAGTAAAAAAATTTTAAGGCTTACAGTTTTTTTTTTTCGGCAGCCATTTTAATTTGCTTTTCGACTGAAAACATATTTTGAGAAACTGCCTGTAACTTGGCTATTTTTTTAGATATCAAACAAAAATAAAAATTGAAAAAATGTAGAGTATTTTGTCTCCATTTCTTTTGTAAATACGTCACCTAAAAAGAAACAAAAGTGGTTTAAAAAAATCAATAAAATAGACATAAAACGAGACTTTTAGCGTTGCAAAAGTGTAATAATGAAATAGTCTTAACTTTAATATTTTTTTTATGGGTAGTCCTATCACTGTACTAATTGCTGATGAAATTTCAATTTTTAAGACCTTGTCCTTTTTCAATATGAATTTTCAAAAATAGTTTTCGGTGTTTTTTATGTTTAATATCACAAAAAGGACTGAGTGAAACATTATGAAATTTATACAGTTTATATATACTTCTTTATGATGAGAACGTGTGATATGAATTTGATCACTGAGACTCAATTGTTTCTATTAGTTATATCGCAACAAATATTGCCGCCTAGTGGGAATCGGTATCCGGTATCAGCATGACCTACTAACGTTAACTCAGGTATTTTTGTGGATATCAAAATAAAAAAAAAAACTAAAACTATAATGACGTTTTGCTGTAAATTCTTTGTCCTCACAATACATCTTCTAAGTAATGGGGAAAGGTGTTAAAAAATTGACAACTATAAAATGAAAATACAAATAAAACGAGACGTGTACCGCAACAAAAGAGTAATAATCAAAATAGTCTCAACATTAATTTTTTTTTCCACTTACCTATACATGTAATATATAGAAAGGGAAAGTATTGCGATCGTGAAAATTTTCAAATCTGAGTTTTTAATATACACGTTTTGAGGTCTCCTGAGTCTAAATAACCAAGTCCCGCAAAATGGTCTGTGTGTGTGCATGTATGTGATCTAGCTCAAAAACGAAAAATCGTACGAAACTGGTTTTACGTATTAAAGGTATATGCCTTAGATGTGACAATTTTTTCGTTAAGATCAACTAACCGGAAGTGGCGCTTTTAACGGTTATAAACGTTTTTACAATTTTCTCAAAAACGGCTCTAACGATTTTGATTAAAATCGCTGTATCATTATATAATTAAGTGTCAATTTAATATCATTGAAGTCTTATCCCCAATGATGTCACTTTGCAGGGCTTAAATGTTCAACTTGTTTTCCCCTAAGGTACCTTTAATTTGATTTATTTAAAATGATTAACCATCTCTTATAATCAAGAGCTATGAAAAATGCTAAATATAACATTTGAAAGAACTTGATAATTGAAAAATGGAGAAAAAAGGTAAAATGTTTATATAGGTTGAAAATGAATTTTCGGAAATAACTTGTCAGAAAGTACACAAAGCGAAGAATTTTATAAAAAAACAATATAGATCTAATATAGAAAGTCGTAGAAAGTAATGGAGAGT